CCGCATCTGTCCAGTTTCCTCAAAGATTTGCACACTATACCAAACATGCCATGTTTTTTGGCTAATGGCTCTTTGGCAATCACCTTGATGGTGCAAAAATACAATTTATGATTGCTAAACTACGCTATTTTTGGTATTTCCTGAATATTCAAAAATTTAAGTGAAGTAGCTTAAAAAATATAATAATAAAAGAATAATAAAAGAAATGACCTTTAGATGAACTCTTAGAAAGTCTGAAAAACTATTGTTCAATAAATAAATGGAAGCAAAATATAAAGAAATGAGGGTTGGTTCAAGACTTCTGCACAGTACTATATTTGACAGTAGTACTCTACCTGTGGTTTGCCACAATCACACTGCTCCCCTTGTTCCAGTAGGCCATTGCCACACTCAGGATTGCTAATCACATTTGATGCAGCGGGCTGATTTCTCAGACACAGGCCTCCTCCTCTTAAAATCAGTGCTTCAAAATCTGCTTCACTGCACTGGCTAAAATTTGTGGCACCACTGCAAAATAACAGGATAAATCATTTATAGAAATATACAGTTGGACAGGCCTCATATAGATGTTTTTAAAAACCCTACTATAGTGAAAGGTTTCTGTTGTCAAATTCTAAATATCTATACTGATCTAAAACCTTTATATATCTTTCAGCACTGATGGTGCCATTCCAGATGTTAAAGCTGCCATTTCCATAGGCACTAACGCTCCTCTTCAGTTCAGCGCCCAGGTTTCCGAAAAAGAATTTCAAATTTTGATTCGTACAACCACAGAACAGTTTTTCACTTTGGTTCAGTTCATTTGAAATGAGCTAGTGACAGCGTTTCCAGATAACGTTTGCATACAGCTGGACCTTTACTAGTGATTGGATTCATTGTTTCCTTAAATTTGACATATCGTCCCAAATTTTCAGAATTGGAATTGTAAGGAAGGTTAAAAAAAAAAAGACTTCTACGGAAAAAACAATAAATTAAACATTTTTTGAACATTAGTGAAAACGGTATTACCTGGCACCTCCTGACATGATGCAGCTTTTTCCATTACAGGCGCAGTTCGCAGAGTCATGATTCATGCCCAGGTTATGACCCATCTCATGAGCCACCACAGTGGAGACAAAAGCCAAATTGTTGTTGCTAAACTGTAAAAAACAAACACAGGACATTAAATGGTGACATTTTAACAAAATTTATGCCCAATTTGCAGCTCCTGAATTTGAAATGAGAGTTTAAATCATCCATCCATTCGCTTCCCCTTTTCAGGGTCGCGGGGGGCACTGGAGCCTATCCCAGCTGTCATAGGGCGAGAGGAGGGGTACATCCTGGACAGGTCGCCAGTCTGTCGCAGGGCCAACACACAGGGACAGACAACCATTCGCACTCACATTTACATCTAGTGGCAATTTGGATTATCCAATTAACCTATCCCCACAAGCTGCATGTCTTTGGACGGTGGGAGGAAGCCGGAGTACCCGGAGGGAACCCACGCAAACACGGGGAGAACATGCAAACTCCACACAGAAAGACCCCGGCCTGGTGGTGGAATTGAACTCAGGACCTTCTTGCTGTGAGGCAACAGTGCTAACCACCATGCCACCGTGCTGCACCGTGAGTTTAAATCAATGATATGATAAATCATTATTCGTGTATAGCCAGAAGGAAAAAAAATGTAAATGAACTTAAAAGCATATATCAAATATATCTACAAAAAATATAATATTATATAGTACATATAGATTTCTATTAATATTAGAAATCAATTTATTGATGTAATCACTTTCTCAACTGCAATAGTAATAGCAATTGATACATGTTATACGTTATGTTGTTTGACTAATAAGAAAAGCAGTTTCCAAAAAGACTTTGTAATAATACAAAGAAAGATGCATTGTCACGGTGGTGGAGTGCATTCAAGTATAACCTGTTTGACTAGAGTAGAATGTATTCAAAGCCTGCGAGAATAAGCTGCAGTTTTTATGAATAATGTATGATTGGTATCAGTTTCTGTGTGTCAGCTGGTGTTAGAAGTTAACAGAGATGAACTAACCACATTGATTCCTCCAGAACTTGAGGCAGAGCACACTGTGCCCACAAAGGCCATACCTAATACACCTCCTGGATATGCCCCAGACTGACCACTAACAAATATGGAAAAAGGGGTAAATGTGTCAGAGAGCAGTTGATATTCTGATATTAAACATTATTGATACAACATTATGCTCAGAATAAATAAATAAACCAAAGGACAAAGACCACACGTTACTTACACAATGAGTTGTCCAATGTCATGCCTGATTTTGGGTATCAAAAAAGTCTTCCTCCACTGAACAAAATTTCCCAACACATTTCCTGCACTGCCGTCCACACTAAAAGGATTACTATCCTTAAAAATCTCCAGGCCCACCAGGACAACTCGGATGTTCAGCTGCTTGTAGTACTACAACAAAGAGGAAAATAAAACATACCAGTGTTTTAATACAGAATCTAGTTTAATTAGGCACGTTTTCTTTTACAAACTACTTAAAATCTCACCCCGTCCAGTAGATTAGCCATTTGCACCATCTCCTCTCTCACTGCTGTCGCATTGTTTTTCTTAAAAGTATACTGTCAACACAATTAATTTGTATTTAATGGCATTTACATTAACATGCTGCTCAATAGCTTTGGCACTATATTTTACAATCTAAGCACTCCAGATTTTGTGAGAAAAGTTATTTTAAAAACTATTATATGCCTGGTGACACCAGGAGTAATATGTTCATTTACTGCACCAGTTTACAAAAGCCTAGTCATTATTTCCATATCAGTGAGTTCATAGACACATATATATCTAGCTACATATATATTTACACACTCACCCTGAGATTATCCACAACCAGCACCAACTCCACATAACTGGTCTGTGGTAAATTGCGTTTTCTCTGTTAAAGCAACAAAAACCCCAATGATTTTCATGTTGTATAACCTTTTAACACTGCAAATATATGTTGAAGTAACAAATGAGCATTTAACCCGCAGCAGAGAAGTCAGGGATTGGCCAGGCTCAAAGGGTTCGTGGCTCGGCACTGAAGTAGCCTCAGTAACGACTCCACAGGTGATGGGCTCAGTCTGAACGTCCTCCAAAAGGTAGAGAAGGTGGTCATTGGTGGTGGACTGTGGCACAGGCTCCAGGCCAAAGGCCTTATTTTCAAAGAAGATCACACCCCTACAGAAAAGCATTCAAGACATTCTAAGTGACAAACGCTCTAATTCTATTCAGGGGCTTGGCATGGCAATCCTGCAGCAGGTACTATGAGCTCAGGAAACTTAGATACTATTCCTCAAAAAGGTTAAAGCAAATCATTGGCACTTATCGAGAACATTTCCCAATAACCAGAATAACTGGAAAATAATTTGAATTGTTTTAAATAGGGATAGTCAAACCTGAGACCAGAGCACGTGCTCAGCGCTACCATTGAATCCTTATAGCCTTCCACCTCCCCGTGGTAATAACAATGTACCTGAAAAAACAACAAAATGAAAACAGGTTTTAGAGTTAATGGTCAAGACCAGCCTTATAACTTAAGGTGTGTTTCAACGTACATGTTCTTTCGGATACGATGTGTTGTAGTTCCCGGCAGCGTCACGTGAATATTGAACAAAATTTGGGTGTAAGAAGTCTCTGAAAAGAAAAGATGTATATATATTTGTCTGCAGCATTAATATAAGCTTATAATGTCACTACAACCAAATTCACATACCTGTTCTTTTTTAGATGAATGACATGCTTTTGGTTGTTTATGTTGACTGCATATGACACTGTCTCATCTCCATATTTCTTAATATGTAAAGAGCATTTAAAAAAAAAAGTTCATATTAAACCATCAGCTGAAAAGATAATTCAGTCAGGTATCAGGTACTCACATCTTTTAAATGATGTTGTCTGTTGATGCTCCTAGACCCTCTATGAATCACTTGAGGATTTACAATGGAATACTTGGAAAGCTTTGATGTAAAGCCCTGGAAAGCATCTGCAATGTAAATTCAACAAGATACTATAAAAATAAAGAAGTCACTCCATGATTACATAATGCTAGTCTTCAGGAAAAGAGACATTTAAGAATACACCCAAATTAAAATGACCAGAGCAACATTTAAGCTTATTTTGCTGTACTTTCAGAAGCTAAATATGTCCTGATTAACCACACACAGCTTTTTTGCTGGACTCTCCCCCCCCTCCTTTTTTTAAGAATGAAAAATTCCAAGTTTCCGTTGTATGTCCTTTAACATCGACAGCCTACGCATTTAGTCAAGCTCAGAGGAGTCTTACCTTTGTTATCGATCCCAGAAATAAAGGAAAAAACAAAAACAGTTATTAGGATGTGATTTTTGATGATCATTTTTGAAGTCTGTAGATTGCGTCCCCGTTAGGCCCACAGAGTGCCTGCGTTGTGTCTTTGCTTCCTGCTCCTTGTCAGGTGGCTAACGATGGGTGTGGCTTTGGACAGGTGAGCGCCTTAGAAAACCGGACTTTGTTGCAGTGACAATTCAAAGCGATTTGTCAGAGGATTTTTATATGAGAAGTTTTCTTTTAAGCGTTAAAGGTTATATTTCAGTCCTACCTTACAACTTTGTCCCAAATAACTTTTCTACCAAGAGACGCCTCCGTTTGTTTGTGTTGTTAATATAAAGATTGCAATCTTTTAACAATACTTGCTGAGTGGATATTTTCGATATATTACGTCAGGGTTAAGATCTCGGAGGCTATTTGGAAGTCAGAAATTCGAGGAGCTTATGGATAAACCAACTATCATTACGTTCTTTATTTAAACAGGTTGTATCACTGAGATCAAGATTTATTTTCCCCAAGAAATACCTGTGTACAAAAGACATTTACAGTCCAAGTTCAAAAAGTAGGCAGACAAAGCACATTATTCACGTTTACAAACTAGAAGGCATGAAAAAAAGTAACTGCAGATGGATGTAATTTTAACTTTTTTTTTTTTTTTAACACAACCAGAATTTAGCTTCATATTTTTTTATGAATTCATTAATATTTTATTTTTGGTAGCTCATTTCATTGGTCAAATCCATTCTTACCAAGTTAAGTGTGACGAGAAGTGCAGCTAAAATGAGCTGTAATTAAATACCTTCCTGCCTCATTATCTTTGATCAGAATCAGGTGTTTCTCATTATCCTGCTTTGTGCACTTCCATTGATCACTTTGTATGTATTTAAGCCCACTTCTTGCTTTAGATTTTTGTTACATTATACTACTTTTGGCTACTTGAGTTGCGACTGGTTGAATTTCTGGATTCTGTTTGTATAATGGCCTTTTGGATCTTTGGCTTCACCTTAAGTACCTTTTCAGTGTACTTTGAGTCTGCATTCCAGACAACACCCAGCCAAAGGTACACCTATTTATGACAACCAAGCATTCAAGTTTCGTCACCATGAAAAGTTTTACTATGTACCATTGGCTGCAAACTGGTTGTCTTTTAAAAGCAGACTTGAGATTTACAATGGCCAAATCAAAAGAAGATCCTTTGTGAACTGCATGAAAATATACATTACAATAATGACAGAAATAATAATAGTTACTTACACAGAATTTCAAGTTCAAAAAGCTGACCTGATAAACTCTAGTCTCAATTTCAGAAGAAGGTAGGTTTATTTGGATTTCAGCAAATAAAATGGCTCGCACTATGATGCTAAATGGGTGCAAGGCAGGGCAAAGGTGACAATAAGGAGCAAAGGGTCTGATTGATCCAGTGAAATGTCTCTCTGCCTTGACTTTGGAGGCTCTCAGTGCAGAAAAGTATGCTTAAGGTTTAGAAGACGGATAAGTAATTAGAAGTCAATGTTTCAAAGTATTGAGAAAAATTAAAGTGATTGTTCAGTTTGTTTGTGTCAGAGCTATTAACCGTTTCTATCATTGATCTCAATCCACTGACCTGTGTTATTTGTCTACAAAAGCTTTTAAAATAGTGACCCCTGCTGACGGTTTCATGACAAAACTGAACCACACATCCCTTCTCCTCTATTCTTCCAAACTGAACCTTTGGCTCATACATGGCTTTCCTGAACAGGTATTAATGATAAAAAAAAAATACAAAGGAGAACATGAACCGGAACTGATAGTTTTTCTGCATTCCAACATTCCAGTTCTCCATACCAAACACTGACATTTAATTCAAGTGAAACCAGTTAGGCAGATCAGCTTGTGTATCTCCCTTTAAGGTAGATGTGAAATCAGTGAACATAAAGATATTATTGAAAGATACATTAAAAATAGGAGTTCACTTTTAATTTAGTCAACTTCCCTTGCCCCTGCACTGATTACATTTTAAGCAAAAGCATCATTTCTTCCTTAAATAACAACAAAAAAGGCAGTGTTTCCTTTCTCTGTCGAGATGATTAAGATATTTACAGTGTGTCTCAAAATGTAGAGCGACACCAGAATGAGAAAGACCAGAGGATGAACCACCAACAGGAAGAAGACCAGGAGGCTGTTCCTGAAAGAGCAGTCTGTGGTAGAGAAAGTCTTATTACTTAATGGATTAGCAACGTATATCAATAACTTTTTGTTTTGTCATGTTTTTAAATCAGATTACCAAAAATCAGTGACTTTTAATAAATAGTAACAAGTAATAGTATCAGTGCCAGAGGCTATTAAGAGGTGCACAAAGAGTTCACTTGTTGTGACCAAATTTAAACCAGATAAAGTTTTAGCTTTTTATCTGTGCAGGCATCAACTGGATAGAACATGGATGATCACACATCATAACTTGATAATTATGTTATTTCTGATCCAACACGCATATAGTTAAACTGGGAAATTTACACAAAACAGTTTCACCAAATTGCCTAGATCAGAATAAGTTACCACAACCATGTCAGTGGAGGAACGGAACAATTTATTCAACAGTAATTTGAAATACTGTGTCTCTAATGATGAATTCAAAGGACTTTGTTAGCCCAACTCAGCATTGATGATCATAGGTCTATTCAAGTCCACCTACCTGAGCAGGACCACTGTCTATGCTGCCACCGTGCCCTGACTTGTCACAATTAGGTGGGGCCCAGCCATCTTCACAGTGGCAGTGCCCTTGATCATTACATACCTGAAATAAACATTAAAAAGAGAAAGTCTGACATGTCCTAAGTGTCTGTATGAAAAAAGAAAATGCAGTTTTACCCCTTGGCTATTGCAGGTGGTATTTGCATCACAGTCCAGGTTGGGCAGGAGAGCTGAGGCATTCACACACTGAAAGTCCAGACAGGCCTGAAAAAAAATTACTTACTGCTGCAGTTAAAATGAGTCATTAGAAGATTTTCCTTCTTATAGAAACACTATTGTCATAGAAAAAGTGAAATCACATTTGCATTACTTGTTACATTTCTTTCTGTTGTCATTAGCAACGAGAGTCTGCTCACCTTTCCTTTACCACAAGGGCTGCCAGGGTTAACATAGGCTGGATCTACCACATCGGTACCAAGGTTGAAGTCTGCATTAACACAAGTCTTCCCAGCAACTATTTTGATACTGACTGTGACACCAGGAGGAGGGTTATACACATCCACATTGGCGCACTGCACCTTTCCACACATGGCATTTCTGCATCAGGAAGTCAAAGAAACAATCAACAAACATTTAAATGGTATGCCAAAGATGCCATTATTTTCTTTATTCTAATCAAAGGCTCTTTGTAATTGCACTTTTAATAAAAGTTTTCGCATTATCTCACTTGGACGGAAAGTATAGCTTATTTGAAAATCTTAATCTTGCCACAAAAAGTTTCAGCAAGCGCTGATGTGGGTTCACAATAAATGATTCAGGTAGCTAAAAGTAATCATGTAATATCATGTAATAAACTGTACACCTAGACAAGGTGCCAGTTTATCACATTGAGACAGACATTAGCTCATGCTCACATGCACATCTAGACCCAATTTAGAATCAACAGTTAACCTAATTGAGCTGTGGGAAATAAGCAGGATACCCAAGGGAGAACCAATGGAGGTACAGAGAGAGCAAACTACTTAAATTCACAACATGTTAAATTAATGATGTCTAATCATTCAAAGACAGTACTTACGCTAAAGTACATTTGATGTAGTTTCCATTGCTGTTGATTCCACAGTTACCAAACCGATCTCCCTGCATATTTGCATCTTGGAAACAAATATCTGCTGCTTTTATTGCATTATCTGCCAAAAAGAGAAATAATATCCAGAAAAAAACTAGACAAATCTGAGAATTCTTATCTTGCCTAGTGATCGTAATCACATTACTGAAAACTAAAAGCATAAAAAAGTAATAAATTATTACTGGATCTACCTGGTGCGAACAGATGTCTGCACTGATAATCATATGTCTGACAGCGTCCTTCATAGCAGTACGCAGTATTGTTTTCACAGGGTAGGCCATCCAATACATTAGCATCTTAATGAGAAAATCAACTGGTTAAATAAAATAAAATGTTAAGAAAATGTATGCAGAACAATTGTGAATGTGAACAACTGTGTTATGCATCAAGTTGGAGAAAACTACACAAATGTTAACAAAACTTTAAGTCCCAGGGCTTGTTTCGTTTATCACTTGAGTGTCATGTATCAATGTGCAGATGAAATTGTGCACACGGAAACAAGACTGAACTCAGAACACCATTTATTGCCAGTGCTCAAAGAAAAAATACAACACTTCAATAACCTAGACTAGTGATGTTACATCTGTCACTGAAACCCAGAAGCCTGTGTCAAGCAAAGGGGGCGTGTTCAAATGACGTCCCTGTCAAGGCCTGTAATGTTCTTCAGAATATCACGTGACTAAAGATAAATGAGTCATGACATGAATACATCACAAGGTGATTTGAGCGTTTGAAAAGACATGGGAATTTAGTTTTTGCGTGAATTGGATCTGAGGCGATTATATATATATATATATATATATATATATATATATCAATTGATACATTATTACATATCCAGTGGTATGTAGCCTATGCATTATCTCAGCAGGGCTGCTGTACATTGAATGGCCAGCACATATCAGGAGGCAAAGCAGAACATAAAACATGCAACGTGAGGGACTGTCAAAATAAAACAGGAACCAAACCACAGACATTCCAATTTACAGTAACATAGGGAAAATGTGAACAAACAATGAGAGCACACACACTTTGAAGACAGGACACAGAGGCTGGACAGGAAGAGGGGGAAAAAGCCGAGACTAGAACGGAAGACATGGGGCACAACTGTAGGGACAGACAGGGATACAATATAAGCAAAGCAGAACAGAACTAGATAAGAAACAAAACTATAGATTGTTAATAAATAAATAAAAACAGGAAATGGGAAAACAACAAAAAACGCAAAAAAACTGGGACCAAAACGCAGGGATCCTAACACTGAAGGAGGAACTAGAAAGCTACTTCCAGTTATCAGGAGAAGGAGTACAAAACTAGCCTGACTCCAGATGAAGTAGAGTTGTTTATACCTGAGACCAGAGCATGTGCTAACTGCTACAAGTGAATTCTTATATCCTTCCACTTCTCCGTGGTAATAGCAATGCACCTGGGAAATGCAAAGAAAAAAACAGGTTTTAGAACTAGTCTTCAGATCCAGCCTTACAAATGAGTTTGAGCTTAAACTTACTTGATTTGCTGGATATGATGTGTCGTAGTTACCGGTGGCATCACGCAAATACTGAACAAAATTTGAGTGTAAGAAGTCTCTGAATGGAAGAGAAAAAAAAATTATTCTAAAGCACAAAAAAGGAACTTACATTAATATCTGTGTGGCCTAATTCTGCACATACCTGTTCTTTTTCAGATGAAGGACGTGCTTTTTATTGTCTATAGTGATTGCATATGACAAGGTCTCATCTCCATATTTCTAAATGTATACAAAAAATGTTAAATGTTCCATATTAGACCATCTGCTGAAAAGATGATTAGGTCAGGTATCAGGTACCCACCTCTTTTGAATGTCGTGGACTGTTAATGCTCCTAGACCATCTGTGAATCATCTGAGGATTTACAATGGAATACTTGGAAACCCCATGGAAAACATCTGGAAGGTAAATTCAGTAAGATACTATAAATACTGAGAAGTACTCATTTATAATCTCATTATCACTTATCAGTAAAAGGTCTTTTAAATGCCAACACCCAAAACACAATCAGATTTCTGCGATCCAATCCTTTTAAATGAGAAAGAATTAAGTATACACTATAGAGCAAACAAAACTCTTAGTCAGAGTAATAATGAAAATACAAATGAACAACAATATGTAGCAATTGTCGTTATGAGTGTACAAAAAAAGTTCAGCAGACAAACAACACAACATTTAGCCCATCTCAAATGTGATGTATCCAGGTCTCGTGCCTGTTGAGTCTACTGAGTGTCTTTTATGCTTAATTCGAGGCAAACCAAAGTAGGTCTACCTGTTTTTTGCTTGCTTGTAATAAGGAACCTCCTTTGACGGGAAAAACAGGTATGATAAATTTAGGCGGAAAATAACAGCAATTTAAAAATATTTGTCATACAACAGGTATGCATTGGTGCACCTATTTAATTTTAATTATATGTGTGGACTTTTAAGACAGGTGTGTGTAGAGCTGTTGAATGGAATGAGCTCCCAAATACGCCTCAAATATGTGAAACACTTACGTAACATGATAAAAATAACGATTTTCTCTGTTTCTATAAAACAATGCTGTAAACCACGTCGGTAGTATCGTGTGATGGGTGTGATGCAACAAGAGCAGGTTAGACTTCCGGCCTTCGAAGGGCGCTTTCAAGTGATGTACGTTTGAGTTATCGCGTTTTTCTCGTAGACATCTTACGTCACTCTCACGGAAGTGTTTGTTGTTTTTAAAGTAAGCTAATAAACTGTAGCATCGCTTCAGTGAAAGTAAAAAAGTACGGGTCTACGGTTTAACAATAACAAAAGGCTGGAAAAGTTTCTATGCTGTCCTTCGAGTCTCTTTCTAAGTAAAACGCTATCGATTAACACAGCAGCTGCTCAAGTTTTTTGGATCATTGTTGGCTGAAAAATAGTTAGCACGTAGGCTAACCAAAAAGATACGACTGCGTGAGTCGTTTGTAGATAGCCTATCAACTATCTGCTGAATGTGAAATGCAAACATATGTTTCCCTTTATTGCCATGCATTAAATTTTTAGTGTGATAACGAGTAAGTTAATGGGCTACTTTAGTAATTACGTTCATAACTAAAGCACTGGCATCTACTTTCTAAAAAGAGATTGCGTTATGTATGGCTGCGCACCATTTTTTAGGATTTGTTCATCTACTGAAAAAGGGACTGTATAAGAATCAAGTCTGTGCAAAAAACAGCATCTTATCTTTGGCGTCAGCTCAAGTTGTCCTGTAAGTGCACATGTACGGTGCAGTCTTCAAGTTTAAATTGAACCCGCACGGCACGGACATGTTTTATGTGTTGTTCTATTCTTTTGTAGAATGACTGCACTGACAGACTTAGAACCTTTAGCAAAACGACTAAAGGTGGGAACAAGTGCTCCATTGTCTTCTTCATCTTCTCGTGGAGGTATTTGTCTAAAAATATTTCCCCCCCCTGCAGAGCATATTACTACATTGCAGTATCCCCCCTTTGTAAAATAAAAATTCTGTGTTTTATTTGTCAGGCTCACTTTCGAGTAGTCAGAGCGTCGGTGCTGCGACTTCAGATCAAGAAAGAATGGAAAATAAAACCGAGAGAAAGGTGGTAATAAGGCCAAAAACAAGTGGAGCAGGTGACTTAAGAGGTGTCAAAATGAAAGGTCGCCTTCAAAGAATTGGTCCAACACAGCAACAAAAGTTCAGAAATACTCTTGAAAGATGGTTGATCAAGCCAATGGAAACCTCGAGTACAGGAGATGTGTGCCAAACCCAAAATGATGAAGAAATGATGGATGATGATGGTTTTCAAAGCACCTCAGCTCAGTCTTTAGAGTCCAAAGAAGCTGAAATACTTTTTGTCACTGACACAGATGAAGAAACCCAGCCATTAACTCCAGCAGACTTAGATCAAGATCCTCCTGTATCACCAGCTGCCAAAGATTCTGCAGGGAGTGATCTTACACCAACATTGCTTCAAAGTGATGACGATTTAGAAACAACAAAAATGGACACATGCCCAGCAACCTCCGATGGTTCAGTCAAACTCAATTCTAAAATTACAGACTTCTTTTCGGGGGTGTCATCACCAGGTTTTCCTGGGAAACGACGCAGGTCAGAAAAGTCTCCAGAGAAACAAGATACAGAAAAGGAACCTAACCCTTCTGAAGTCAGTTGGCTCGGGACACCAATAAATGAGCTAAAGAGGATGCCAGAATGTGGCGAACCACTTCCTCCACTGAAGAATGTTCCTGGCCATCACACCGTGATGATTAGGGTTTGATCAGTTCTCTTCTATTCAGATCACAGCACAGATATAGATATATATGTAACAATTCAAGAATTTTATATTAATTGAATTTGAAATTCACATGTGATTTTAAGAGATTTTGTTGTGATTTCATCTCAGTGTTTATCCTGAATATATAGAGTAGACATACTTGTATTATTAATCATGAGACTGTTTGGTTTGTGTACGTGGAATGTCCATACTAATGTCATTTATTTTGATTCCCATTAACAGACAGATCTTCTTCAAAAGGATAAAGTTCCTGTTCCATATCTCACTAGATTTCAGGATGCCTGGGATGATGTACATGTCAAGATGCCTTGTTCCAACAGGAACTTATTTCCTATAGAAGATGAGGTAAAGGCTCAAGTGTTTAAAACTTATTTTCGATGTGAATTAAGAAATGCACATGAAGTTACAGGTTGAGGGCATAAATTCGCAAGTTCTACTTAAGTTGTTTAAGTTGTGGGTTATGTAATCAGTGCAGTCACATGATACACATTATTGAAGGTAGCTAATTAATTATTTAAAGCATCTAAAGAGAACCATAATTAGATGGCAAAACTATGGATGATGAATGGATGTAAAAAAAACAAGATGTATGTAAAAAAACAGTCATAGTAAATTAATAGTATGTGGAAAAGAGAATATTTAGGACAAATGTGCATGGTGCAATGTCCTATCTGATGAGGCAGTGATGCTTCATGCTCAAATAGCTAATCACATAGTGTTTTGAGTGTCACGTCTTACTCGTATAGTGTCCTAACATAACAGTGACAGTGGATGCTAGAAGCTTCTCTGCACCAGTGCTACATAGGCCATCACTGTAAACTCTACCCAGTTTAGCCTTTGTTTACTGTCTGTAATAACCTTTGATAACATAAAGGTATCATAATTCAGTTAGTTTTTAAAGATTTCTTTATATTAAATCAAAACTTTTATTAATAATAAACAACGTCAGGAACACTTCATGTATCAATGTACTTTGTGATTTTAAATGGTAAATGGTAAATGGCCTGCATTTGTATAGCGCTTTTCTAGTCCATAGGACCCCAAAGCGCTTTACACTACATTCAGTCATCCACCCATTCACACACACATCCACACACTGGCGTTAGCAAGCTACATTGTAGCCACAGCTGCCCTGGGGCGCACTAATTAATTAAAACTTAATGCATAACCTTTAAATTTACTGTTCGTCAAATGTCACGTGCTTAGGCCTTACCTTTGACATCAATATTATCTTTCTCTCCTGTCCTCTCTTTCATGCCTCTTTCTTGATTTCAGAGAGTAAAGCTGTCACACTTTAAGATTTTTCTTCTTCTAGGGAAATAGAGCAATTGATGCAGGTTGTGTTACAAACTGCACAGAGGGAGTTTGTATGTTTGCTGATATTTGTTGAGCTGCATTTAAAAATGAAGCATCTTAAACTCTGTTTATGGTTGCTCATGAATTGCTAAGTCCAAAAACTGCAACTTTACTTGCTTTAATGACATGAACACATGACAGGAATGAGAAGTAAAAAAAACAATGTGTGCAGTGTGCAGATGGGACCATGGGGTGGCGTTAATTTCTCGCTGATATCAGAGGTAAGCAGCACCAGGCTGCAACACAGAAAAAAAATCAACTCCTTTGATATTTTTGTGAATTCAATGGACTCTAAAATGTGGTTCACTAACTCATTAATGCTGCTCTGGATCCTGCCAGCTCACTTTAACTCCTGCTTGTTAGTTGCAATAGTTAGAACAGTTCTAAGTTTGCAACATTATAGCTGGCAAGATGTCAAAAAATAGCAAAGCGTATGGTGCTTATTCATCCAGGCTGGGGTTATTCCTTCAACAATAGCTGTAAAGATTCCTCACATCTCTGAAGTCATGAAGTACAACAAAACAACACAGTATTATTGTTTATACATAAAAAATCTCAGACCTGAAATGTATACTTCCACAGGAAACACAAGAACTGCAGAATAAAAGTCGGTGGGAGCTGATCAAGGAAACTTTAAACAAGACATTTACAAATCCTCATGAGCTGAAGGTACGTTGTATATCTTTGTCCCTTCATTGGCAAGACAGTATGTCTCCTCTAGTATGTCTCAGTTGTTGTTACCAGACTCTACCATAAGATGGCATGATTAGCCCAGAAACCAAAATACTGTCACAGAATTTAAGTAAGCTGACACTTTAAAAATGCAGGGATGCATACATATGGAGTAATTGTGACTTGAAGTGATGTTTAAGATTAATTTTGATTATCAATCTTATATGTTTATTTTTGTGATATTACAGAATGCAATGTTGAAGTACAGTGCATCACATGCCAAGAAATGGGACTTCACAGCGCTTCATTTGTATTGCACAAAGGTAAACAGCATAGCTATCAGAGTGTGATGATTAGTAATTGTTGATTTTTTAATCGCGTTGAAAATATAGTGAATTAAGCGTCTTTTGTTTGGAGCTGTCATCGAATTAATACTGACACAGAGGTCTGTAATCACACACAAGCACATCTTAAAGATGTCAAAAGATTAGCTGTAGTATAATAAAGTATTAAGTAGCTAAGTATTAACTGTCCAATCACGATGCTTAATTGCCAGCAGAAAGCACCGTGTTCATCTGTTAATTATTCTGCTATAAAAACACTATTAAAAAGCAGTATGAATCAGTATCAGTAGATAAGACTAATAACCAAATTTGCAGCTCCATAATTGCAAATACTATGAAGACATTACAGACACAACTTGTTTGAGGTTATTGATACTAAGAGAGATTTGTCTGGTTAAATCCTTGCCATCCACACCTGGACTTCATTAAAAGGATATTAAAATGATACAATTTTACCTTATAAAAACTTAAGATAATTGTTTTAACGGAGAATATAAGGTCATTCTAAATTATTCTAAAGTTCTCTTACTAATGTAAGTAAATTAAGTTTTGATAGATTCCCCTTGAAAACATTTGATTTGTTTTGCCCTTTTTCAAACTTTCCTTTTCCAGCATTACAGACATGAGAGTGAAAACATTGCTCATAATTATAGAGAATTTCACAGGTTTTAAGATGTTGTTTACATGATTTTTTTGGTACTGTCCCAAGCTAAGTAAAAGCACAAACAAAGATGAGCCTGAGTTGCATCATAATTTCCAGAGCACTGTTGGTTCACAGGTCTTTGCTCAGAGTTGTCAGCGTCTTCTCCGGCCTTGTTTGGAGCCCATCCATCATCTGTCTTAATGTGCTCTGTGTCATTCTGTGTAGAGAATCACAGAGGACTGTACTACAATCTGCCTCATGAAGGGGATGCGAATATTCCACTTGAAGCGATAGCTGTGTTTTTATGTTTAATATAAGTA